TATGCAGTCATAGAAAAAAATGGAAACATTAATACTTCTTTGAGTCCAAGAGAAGGTGGCCATAAGAAAAGGAATGTAAAGATGAATTACAGTGAAGGTCCCTCTGCTCTTAAACTATATTTAGCTAAATTCTAGATAAATAAAAAAACACGCTTTGTTAGCAAAAGTAAACACAATAGTTTTTAAAACAGTACATAATACAAAGTATTAAATCCTTTGGTCAAGCCTGGCCCATGGAAAGGCCGAGTAGTGTTTGGCAGGGATAATGTTCAGCTCAGTTTGGTGTTTCCTCAGGAGACACGTGGACTTAACCTCCACCAGAAACCAACCCCTGAAGGCAGTTTATGGCCTCAAAGGCCGAACCGGGACCTCCCCCATCCAGGCCGGGAATCCACAGCTCTGCGTTCAGCCGTCGGGGGGGATTTCTGAGTCCAGCTGCAGAGCCTCCTCCAGGCTGTCGGTGAGCCGGAGGCCCTGCAGATCAGCTGCAGCCAGCACTCTGAGAACAGCCGGCTGGAGGAGGGAGAGGAAACATGGAGGATCAGGATCCGGCCCCCTGGTGCTCGATTAACGCAGTGTTTTTCAACCACTGTGCCTCGGTACACTAGTGTGCCGCGAGTGATGCTCAGGTGTGCCGTAGAAAATCATCCTATATCACCTAATTGGTCTACGAAATAGTTTCTTCCCCCTGGCCATCAGACTACTTAACGCCACATAACCCCCCCCATACACACACACATATTTATTGATGTTTCGTTGCTAAAAATTTTACTCTGGTAGCCAAGAAATTGACAATTCGTCGTCAAATTCACCTCGTGTTTTTGACAATGACAATAAAGGAAGTCTAAGTCTAAGTCTAAGTCTACAAAGATTTTTTGATAAGGAATTAATTATCTGCAAATAATATGCCATTTTTGAGTGTCTGTGCTGTACTAGTGACTGGTGGCGTAATCATGTAATAATTCCTTATGACTAGATTTTGTATATAATTTTGCATATTGAAGTGGACATGTTAAGTGCAATTTGAAAGAAGAAATATAAAATATGATAAAAATACATTTTTGTGTTTATTTGTTTCCTATTCAAGACACTTAAGATATGATAAGAATAAAATAAGAATAACTATAGTGTTACTATAGGCGGCTACAGATTAGTTTAACATTTTTGGTTTGTGGTGTGCCTCGAGATTTCTTCTATGAAAAAATGTACCTCGGCTCAAAACAGGTTGAAAAACACTTTGTTAACGGGAGCGTTCGGGACTGGGGGGACGCACCTGACACCCGCAGAACGCCAGCCAGACTTTCCTCAGCCTGAACTGCCTCAGCAGGTCCCGCAGCGCGCCGACCAGGCTGTAGTCCAGGACGCTCACATGGCGGCAGTCCAGCACCACCGAGCGGGGGGGGGACGCTGGGGGGGGGGGCGGTCAGTGGGCAAGGACACTTCACCTTAAGAGCA